GCACTATCAATACTGAGTAAGGAACTGGAGAGATGATGGGAATAAATAGAGTTTTGGAGTTAGACTTCAGTTATACTTTTCAGTGTTAGTGTGCGTGTGTGTGTGTACATACGTGTTTAGTGTATATACATATCCAGAATCAAGTGGCTGTCCTTGATAATTTTCAGTGTATTAGAATATAAATGTAAAATTCCCAGGAGTAAACCATACTGGCACTTTAGACTATTGGGTGGGGGTGGAAATCCTTTCAAAAACACTTTGATTTTGTTTCCACACATGAAGGCAGCCTAGGAGGAGAAGACGTTGTTACAGGGCAGGGAGAAGTGCACCCCAAACCCCCCCAAACCTGCCTGCTCTAAATGGGTTCTGCCATCCGCCGCATTAATACAAAACATGAGACTTTAATGGGAAGGAACTTTAATACAATTAGGAAACAATACAGGAAAGGCAAAGAGTCTAGTTTCTAAATGAAGCACCCAAAGTTACCCGTCCCCTCGTGGGTAAAAATCTATCCATATGGGATTGGCCCAGAGCAAGGCCCCAAAGCCTGCCACAAGTCTAAAGCATCTTCCAGTGGGGACCCACAGAAAAGGGTCAGAAACAACCAGACAAGCACGGAAGGAAAGAGCAAAATCAAGATAAAAGCTGCCATTGTCACCTCCCCACGGGTCTCACCCACATCTGTGTCACCCAGTCCACGGCCAAAAGACAAGCGCAGTTTCTTCATGTGTCTCTAGGCTCCATGCGCCTCCTCCAGGTCTCCTTCTGGCTCCATCCTGCTTCCTTCCTTCCTCAGTCTCCTCTGCAGCCTCATCTCTCCCTGCTCAGCTCCACCCTCCTTTTGGGTGGGGCAGGAAACCTGGAACCTCCCCCTTTCCTGGGGTCCACCCTGTTACAATGTGGGTTCAAATTCTGACTCACTTTTACCAAAGTCCAGGCTCTTTGGCAACCTAGGCTTCTTGGAAAGTGGAACTTGAAGACGAGAGATGGTCTATAAGGCCTCTTCCAGCTCAGTTATTTGAATCGGTGATTCATTCTGATGACCAGAGAACAAACTTAATTATTTTGCCAGTGGAATTTTAGAGCTTCCTTTCTGTGGAATTTTAGAGCTGAAGGAAACATTTATGCTAATCTTAGATGAGTGAAAATGATTAAAGCTGTACATTTATTTTTCTTAGGACTGAGTCTAGAGGCAGGTAATTAATTTCTAGCCTAGTGTTCCTTTCATTCCACTCAATTTACCATCCTCTTGCAGTTACTGAGCACTTGCCATGTGGTGAGAACCTGTGCTCAGACACCAAGGATATCAGAAGGCATAAATCCAGTCCTGTTCTCAAGTAGATCTTATCTAAGAGGGGAGAAAAGACCAACTCAGGCAGGTGTTAGCACATAGTGATACAGTTAACAAGTTCGTCTTTCCCCCATTATTTGCAATTCCCCTTATCTAGCATTAACAGGATTGATGACTTGTCTTTCCCATTTGTTGCAGCTTCCCCTCCCCTTGGGAAGAAAAAAAAAGCTGGCTCCACCGGTTTCCCTGTAGACCCTTCCCCCTCGCCCTAAGGAAAACAAGTTGGCGATCACCCATCTCTGTGCCTTGACACCTTCCCCTTCCCTTAAGATGAATGAGCTGACACCCATCCATCTCCCTGTTGAGCTGGCGCCCACTTGTCTCTGTGCGGACCCTTCCCCTCCCCTTCGCGGATGCCTACCCATCTCCCCCTGTATAAATACCCCTGCCCACTGCCAAAGAGGAGGACGGTGGTTTTTCGGACATGAGTCTGCCTCCCTCCTCATTTGTCGACAAATAAAACCGCTTTCCTTTTCCTCAAACTCAGTTTCCTTTTATTGGCTGAGGGAAACTGAGGCCGGCGTTCGGTAACAATAGCCCACTGATTTTGTCTCATGTCCTTGAAATATCCTCCACTCTAGGTTTTAGTGACACTGTCCTCTTGAGTGTTCTTCTAGATCTCCAGCAGCCTTTCTGGACTTCATGAATTCATATTTAAAGTTAAAAAAAATTCTATTTCTAGAGAAAAGGTAGACTCCATTGCTTCCCTCACACCACCTACTCTTTAGCTCTAAACTCCAGCTGTGGCAGAACCTGGCAACCTCTGTAGGCAGTTCTGCTCTGCCCTGGCAGAGTGGCAGAGTGTCAAGTCCTATGTTTCTTTTCAATACCTCCAAAGAAGAGTCCTTCTTGTCTAAGATATAGGGTGCATGTGATTAGGCCAAAAATTAACCCTGGCTCTTAACTTACTTATGGAAATATGATATAACCACGCAGCACCTTGATTTTCAAATTGCAAAGTGGAAATATTTGCCAACATATCTTTAAATGTTAGGATTTGCAAGTTTTAGAACTGTCATACAACCTCCTCTCCCTAGGTGATTGCACCCTTTCTTGTGACCTCTGTCTCTGTATACCAGCGAGTTTCCCATCCCTGCATGTTCCATGCAAAATGCTGGGGGCTAACATGGCCTTTGTCCTTCTGTCCTTCCTTCCTTCCTTCCTTCCTTCCTTCCTTCCTTCCTTCCTCCTTCCTTCCTTCCTTCCTTCCTTCCTTCCTTCCTCCCTCCCTCCCTCCCTCCCTCCCTCCCTCCCTCCCTCCCTCCCTCTTTTCCATCAATGAATCACCAAGTCCTAACCCTGCATTTCTCACAAATACATTTTCCCTAGTTAAGCCACCATTATTTCTCCCATAGGCTTCCCTCTGCTGCCTCCTCCAGATCCCTTGCTGTCCTTCAATGCTTTCTCCGCTGCCCACTGGTGTCCCTAGGGCAAGGTGTAGGGAGGGAACTGCTTTAGGGCACAGTCAACAGGTGCTGCCTTGACTGAAAAGAATTAGAGAAGCACAATAGGCCACCCCAAACAATGGTATTGATACTTTGACTTGTAGATTGTTTTAAACTGAAGTCAATTAGGACCCAGCTGGAAGGCTTTTTGTTACCTCTTCCTTTAATCCTTAAAGCAATTTGGATGGAGGACCTGTTCTAGGACTCTGTCTCCAGAGTTAACTGCATAGAACATAAGCTAACTGTGAAAGACTTGGGGGTGAGAGACATGTTTGTTCAAATTCCTCTGTCCCTTCATCTCCGCATGGCATTGCAAATAATTATCTACCAAACATTTTCTTTCCCCCCTCTTTCTATAATTGTCTTCCTCCCCCTTTAAAGTCCCAGACCTTACCCCCTTCTCCCTAGCATAGGATGGCATTCAAAACCCAATTACCTGACTGTCTGACAGTTTCATGTCTTTGTGGGGCTCCCCTAGGCATGAAATTAAAATTTCCTCCTGCTAATCTGCTTTATGACAATTTAATTAGACCTAGACCTAGAAAGTTTTTCTTCCTCTACACAAATGAACAGCAAAATCTATTAAAAGTCAGTCTTTATCTTATTATCAATATGCCATTGACAATTCTAAACAATTTCAGTAATAAAGTGCTAAAATTTTTAGTGGTCTTGTTGTGCCCAAGGTCAGCAGACTCGGCGAGCATAGCCTCCAAGAACCCAAAGACAGCTGATGCAAACACAAAAGGGAGTTTATTTCAGACTCGAGTCAGGGTTCAAGGCACCTACCAATGCAGTGGCAGATACTGAGAGCCCCGAACAAAGGAAGCAGGGGTCTTTTAATAAGGTTAAATTATGCTGGCAGTTACTCATTGGCTACAAGGATGCGTTCTCCAACTTTGCCAGGCTATCATTCTAAGCTGACTGGCCAGGCCAAGATGCAGCTCCAACCTGCAGCTCCAATTACAGCAAGTTCATCCTCATTGGTGACCAGAGAGTAAGGGTGGAGTGAGGGTCCAAACTATCTCTGGAATGCAGTCTTTTCCCGGGACAGCAAGACCTGCAAGACCTGAAATTCTAAAATGGCAGTTACACACAAAATGACAAAGCAATGGCTAAGAATACTTATGCTCGGTTCCACAGTCTAAGCTGTATACAATTATAAGGGTTGCTGTTGAATTTTAATAATTGATATAGAAGCTTTAAAGTAGCCATTTTAATACCTATACTTTATATGTTCACTTTTTTACCTTACTTACACCTTAATAAACATAAAACTCTACCTCAGAGACTTCTCAGCTACACAGCAGGACCTTGGCAGGTGTGAACTCATAAATTCTCATTTGTTTGACTTAAGTTCATGAGGATTCAGAAGCAGAGTTGCTCATAGTAGTTGTCTATCAGTTGTGGTTTATATTTCCAATCCTTTTGTAATTACACATTCAAGCATCTGAACAATAGATCCAAATTCAACAATGATGGCACAGTGATTAGAGAGATGAAGAGACAGAAGTTGAGCTGCTTCCATTCTATTCAACGTGACCATATTGATACCTTCATTATAGGCTTAATCTTTAAAACAGCCAAACTTTGGTATGTGAACTTTTGTTCCTACATGCTGCAATTTACTAAATTGAAGTGTCTTTACAATGAAAGTAGTTTTTAACAAGTATTGCTCTAAGGCTGAAGAGTTCCAGAAAATTATTATTATTGAAAAAAATTGAAAATAATTTTCTCTACAGAGGAAAAGCAGGTTGACAATGACCTACCTCAGCTCCACACGGTAGACAGCCAGAGTGAGCTTCTTAAAAAACCCAAGCCTGATCCTTGCTCAAAAACACCAGGTTCAAATCCTCATAGAGAACTGCAAGGTCACACATAGTCTGATCCCTGCCTGCCTTGGGTCACTTTCTCTGCACCTCCCACTGTCTAACTGCCACTCACACCAGCTTTCCTTCCCTTCCTAGGTGCCAAGTTCCTTTCTGCCTCTGAATAACGCCCCCAGGAACCACACCCCCCTTTGCCTGAGTACTGTGCATTTCCCTGCACATGTCTCTTCCTGGGGACACATTTCCCCAATGCTAATGTCTCCCCTCATGTAGCCTGGGAGCACATAGACCCATCCTACCTGTGTGACACAGGAGAGGACACTCTGGAACAGGCTTTTTCTTTAAGGTCCTAGTTTTATTATTTTTTTTAACCAACAGGGAAGCAGGTCCAGATTGCAGACTGCTGCGTCCTGGAGGATGAGTGGCTGGTGGCTCTGGCTAGCCGCCAGCCCCGCTCTCTCACTCTGCAGCGCTGCCGCCATGCTGGCCAGGCTGTGACCCACCATGGGTTGAAGAGACTTTTCCAGCAATGCCGGGATGTTCTTCAGGTATCAGAACCTGCCATATCACAGAACTCTTTATCACTTTCTACCTACCTTTCTTCTCATTCCCATATTTCTTTTGCATAGGATTGTATTAAAAATGCAGTGGATTGACCGATAACACATTCACTTGATTTAAAAAGTGAAATGTCCTAAAAAGATATCGTTTGACAACTTACACTATCACTTATGTTGTACTGGTTTGCTTGGGCTGTCATAATAAAGAAACACAAATAGAGTGGCTGATGCTACAGATTTAATTTGTCTGACCAAGTTCTGGAGGCTGGAGGCTGGAGGCCCGAGATCAAGGTATCTACAGGGCTGGTTCCTTCTGAGGGCTGTGAGGAGGTCTTTTCTATGACTCTCTTCTAGGTTCTAGAGGTGTGCTGGAAATCTTTGGCATTCCTTGACTTGTAAAACCTTACTTGCTCTCTGCCTTTATCTTCACCTAGCACTTTGTGTATTGTGTGTGCGTCTGTGAGTGTGTTACATGTCTGTTTTGTGTCTGGGTGTTATTGTAGCTCTGTGTGTGTTGTGTGTATGTTATGTGTCTGTGTTGTGTGTCTGTGTGTGTTGTGTTTCTGTGTGGTTTGTGTGTCTTTGTGTGTGGTATCTGTGTGTGTTGTGTGTCTGTGTGTGTTATGTGTCTCTGTGTGTCCAGATTTCCTCTTTATATAATGATACCAGTCATGTTGGATTAGGGGGCCCTAATGTAATTGTATCTACAATGAACCTATTCCCAGGTAAGGTCACATTCTGAGGTATTGGGATAAGATTTCAAAATATGAAGTTTTAGAAATCAAACTTCAATCCATAAAGATAGCCCACATAATATTTTAATGTCTGATAGGGCATTCATGCAGATAAAAAGCACTTTACAATTATCTGAGCACAGAACTTAGCATATACATTCTAGGTATTTTTTTGCATATTTCAATATGCACTGAATTTCTTAGTGTAATTACCAGGTTTATTAAAGAAAGATGAGTGTGCTTTGTTTTGTTTGGAAATATACCAAGAATTGTTCATGTCTTTAGAGAATCATATCATTAATAGCAACACTGTACATTGTATTTGGGTCACCAAGACAACACATCTGAAAGACTCTTCATTTATAGAAAAATGTCAGACTTCTGCACATGATCCAGAATATGCTTTTTATTTTGTTACATAGCTTTCTTTCTTCCTGAGGTGGAAAGAATGAAATTAAAAATTTTTCTAATCCAGATTCACAGATATTTTCTTTCAAAATATTATGGGAAATACACACACAAATACTTATGTGATATAGCATAAATTTACATATCTGTGGAAGATATAGAGCATAATGATATTATGAAATACTTTGAAATTCTATTACTTTTGAATTCTCTTAAGATTGTTAATTTTTTGGTAGTCTGTCTTCATTCTCATATAATTGCTAAGGGTGTTGTGTGCTCTGCATGATTTTGTCTCCAAGGTTCCAGAAATCTGACATTTTAGCTATGACTTTAGTTAAGGATTTTTAATGTGGAAAATATTCTTGAGAGTTGGAATACAACTACATTTTAGAACAGTTAAGTTCTTCATTTAGCATATGCACCAATTCACATATTTGAAAATTTCAGTCTCAAAAAGCTTTAAGAAAGAGTTTTGCATATTTGAAGAGTGTTTCCACTCTTCATCTGAGTTCACAGATTAACAGTTGTGGAGGACAGAGGGTGTCTGCTCTCTGTTGACATTCATGGATCAATTGGTGTGCAAATATTGGCTTCTTTCCTGCTATAATAACAAGCAAATGGCAAATCTATTCTCCAGGACAGCAATATTATGTAAAACTCCAAGGGGCACGTGTTTGTGTGCATGTGTGTGTATGTGTGTGTGTATGTATGTTTATAATTCTCTTCATGCAGGGAAACAGCACATAGTAGGGGTTTCGAAAGCAATCAAGAACCACAAACATTTTTCAGAGCAGAAAGGACCCTTAGGGGTTACCTAGGCTACTCCACTTGTGTGTCACCCACCTTTTTCAACTGATGATACTGAGGCCCACAGAGATGAACTAAATTGCAGTGACTAGTCATACCCTTAGCCTAATTTGAGGAGCTTATAAAGAAATCTTCTTGCACTTTTATATGAATGTCTCTGAGGACTTAACCTGTGAGCCACCATATGACTTCAGGAAACGTCACCTTCAAGAACTCCACTTTTTGCTTTTTTAGCACTTTGGGATTGTCTACTTCAAATATCATGGATTATTAAACTATCAGGCAGACCATTCCTTATAGCCACATTATAAATGACCCATGAAATAAATTTCTCAAAAAACTCAGACCTGCGGGTATTTGTCACTGTTTTAATTAATTTGTCTTCACTTTATGGGAAGTATGATCAAGCTTTTTCCTTCACCTTGACTGCTAGGAGATTCAGATTTAGATTTATGAAATTAAACAGCTTGGTAGGACATTGGATATTTTGACTTCTATTTTGTAAAATGACCTAATCTTTGACTTCATTTTATACTTTCTTCACTTTATCCTTGTTTGTTCTTATTTTCTGTTTTCTTTATTTATATTTTATTGAGTTGTAGGTATTTTAAAGTTAGATGAGATGTGTCGCCCTCCACAAAAGCAATTATTTATTTAAACACCAAGCAGGATTTACTTGGAATCAAAACAACAGAAGAGCAGGCAGACAGCCACTAGCAATTTTTAAAATTCTCATCCCACCACTAACCTGGGTAACTTCTGGAGACCCACCCTCACAGTTCCACCAGAGAAGGAAACAGTAGGACTTGTAAGGCATCTTGGGTCTTGTAGTTTGTTCATTCATGCATACTTGGGTACTTGCTAATCTCATTTAAATAGGATTTTTAATATTAATGTTCACAGATCCTTTTCAACATTATCCTTAATAATCTTCTTTGGATCTATTATGCATTGCATACCAGAGTATCTGAGTCTGTCAATTGATCTGCCTTAGCAATTGTGGTGAATCAGGCTTAAAGGATAGAAAATCCAATTAGCTGCCTTTTTTTTTCTGTTTGGAAAAAAAATAAAAAAAACATTGGGGCCTACCAGGTAGGAAGAAGATAATAAATGAAGATTTCTCTCAAGTTCTAAGGTCTCTAGAGCTAAAGGGGAAAATAAATTACGGTATTTAACACTAACATGTAGAGTCTACCTTAAAATATGTATTATGAGCAAATTAACCAAGAATTCTCTCAAGTAGTACAGTAATCCTGGGTGGGGGTCTTGAGCTCAAATATGACTTGAAAATTATGCCATAGTATGACTCAAACTCAGAGATGAGCCATGCTTGATTATTTCCTTTTATAAGTTCTTTGGTCCTTGTTATCCTTGTTAAAGATATAAGTATGGCTGTATGTCATCTGTACTTTAATAAGAATTTAGTCAGCATCTCAGTGAATCATATTGTTTATTAAGGATTTTTAGCAAACTGAGGAGACAGATCCAAAGATTGTTTGGAAGAGTAGACTCAAAATCTTTTGGATGATTTAAATTGTTTTCTTTACAAGCAGATGCTAGTCCTAGAAATTAAGACTAGAAATGCTGATGTGAATCAAGCAAAGATACTAATATTTTGTGTTAGAAATCTGAATATTTTGGTTTTTAAGTATTTAAATTTTAAGAGGATTTTGTTTATAAAAGTAACAGATTATTCTTTTTTTTTTTTTTAAGATTTTATTCATTTTTTTTAATACAAGAACCGGGGTATAGGCCAGATGCACGGGAGGGTGAGAGGATTCACCAGAGGCAGAGTGGGGAACAGAACAGGCGGTGGGACCCTCGTCGGCCGGCTGGGATGGAACCGGCACTGCAGAGGCTGCGGTCAGCTTCACAGTGCGTTGATAACCGCCTGCACCACCAGGGGAGGCCCAACAGATTATTCTTATAACTCTTAATTTAAGGTGTGTGACTGAAAAAGTGATTTAGGCACGTAAATTAAGATTTGTATTCTAATCTGAGTCCTGTTTTTCCTCCTCCTCCTTCATGCCAAATACTGTATGAAAGTGACCGATTGGTGTAACTCAATGACTCACTGTAAGCAGGTTAATGCTTAATTTCTGAGGGCTGTTTCCTTTTGTGTACCATCTGTCTCATTTTCCCTGGATGTTCTGTGTACTTTCACACCTGTGCGTGTTTCTTCATGCAGTTCCACATACCCACTGTTTTTGGAAAAACTCAATCCATTCTTAAAGACGTGTCAGAAATGGCGCCTTGGCTGACATCTCCTCCCTGGCACTACCCATCCCCCCCACCGTTGTGCTGCAATCCCAACAGGCTTTTCTGCTTGTTTGTTGTGTTCTGTTTCCTGCCCTGAAATGAGTGTGTGACTGTCAACTGTAGGATCATGCACAGATCAAGACTGAGGACATAATAGCCACTTAATACATGTTAAATTGAGCTAAACTAATGTTCTAAATAGCACATCATTTATTACTCAGCCAACTCTTATTTGGGATCCCATAAAATCATAAGGATTTGAAAGATAATCTAGTTCTGTCATATTTTGTGTTTTATGGAGAATATAATTTGAAAAAAGATTGCTATGATGTAACACATCGTGAAAGTCACTGATTCTGAACAAACTTTATTTTGAGATGAGGTAACTAAAGGTTTTTTTAGTATAAAAATTAGGTTACTCTTGAGAAATTAAATGAGTCAATAATGTGAATTCTCATTCTTAAAAAGTGTCAATCTACTCTGACATTTTCCAGTTTGCCAAGGTCCTCACCACTCCCTATAGTTTCCCTGATGCAGATGCCAAGTATCAAGAGCTATAGGACTCTAAAATTATAGGGCACTAAAACTCAAAATGATGACTCTGGCATAGCATGGTAATACATCTGGCCGTCTCCATTTATATTACTTGCCTGTCACTGAAGGCAATTGAACTTGAAGCTTCAGGTTTGCAATAGATGTGCTTCTATGAGGTACTGTGGAAAAAATGTTATTTACAAATCAAACTCCATTTGAAATGCATGTAGTTTGCTATTCAGAGGAATCAACTGTAGCTGCAAACTAATTCTTATACATCAAATAAACACACTTGATTATATTTCTTTTGCCTTGACAAGAACTGTGTCTTGCCTTGCCATATAAATTGTCCTACTAAAATTCTGTAAAAAATTCTTCCTTTTATAATTATGACATTTACTTTTGCACAGGGAAGCTTGGGCTCAGTGTGCTTGTTTTTCTTTTGCAAGTAATCTATTTGTTTGGCTTTCTTTTCCTGCATGGGTAAGATCATAGTGCTTATACAATTTTTATCATGAAATAAAACTGTTGCCAAGACAAGTTGAAAACCAAACAACATTAAATTAATTTTTGCCAGGAACATGGTGAACTCATTAAAGCTATAGACTCAGACATTTTTTTTCCCTAGAAAGTTTTACTTCTTGTACATAGTTTTTAAAAACAGTTTTATTGGCATATAAATTTCATATAAAATTTACCCATGGGAAGTTTGCAATTCACTGATTCTTGCTTTCAAAACATTTCTATCATCCCCCCAAATTCCTCTGTGCTCATCTGCAATCAATCCTGCCTTTGACCTCCACACACCCCAGGACTGTACCAACAATATACGTATCAGAATTAGGACCTGAGTCTCAGGTAGATCTTTGACCTTCTCCATTCCTTCATCACAGAAGTCATCACTTCCCCCACTGGCTGTGGGTGTCACCACCACTCCAAATGAAGTGAGTCCCTTTCCACAGAAGTGCACCTGCCCCTGCCCTGGTGACCCCTCTGCCTACTGAGCTGGTGGGGTTGGGAACTGAGGGGACTGATTAGAACTGCCCCAGGTAAAGATGCCCCAGACAACATGCTTCCTATTTGAAGCTGTTTTTTTAAGCAGAAAGGTTTCACAGGTAATGTTTATATTTGCTTTGGGGAAGAGGATTTATTGATGTCTCCAATCTACTGTAGTCAAAATTCTCACCTTTTTATATATTTGATTTTTTTTTTTTTTTTGCTGATTATTTTTCTGGTTTTTTTTCTCCAGGAGGTCAATAGCCAACTAATTGGATGTTTGTGCTTTGTAATATGTTGTTCTTTTTAATCTTAGCATCTTCATCTTTTTATCCTCTGGAGCTTTTTTAGTTGGTGTCTGATCTCCCCAGTTCTGTTTTTCTAGTTGGTTCCATTATAGGAGTTCTGTTTTCTGCAATGTGTCTTCTCTGCATGGACATTGGGATGGATTTTAGTTAGTTATGGCAATATCAGTTGCTTTCCATTTCTTTTGTGTCCTTACTGTTAACCTTAAAATGTTAGTCTTGCACCTCAGTTCTATTTTCAACATTTCCCCCTTAAATTTGTGAAGTGAATTTCCTTTGTTTTTTTGAAAATAGAAGTGCTATCTAATTTTTTGTGCTTCGTGAGAATTATAAGAACAGTTTTTTTCTGAATGTTTGGTGATTTTCAAATGCAACATGTTATAGCATTTTTCTGATTACTCAAGTTTGAACAAGGAAGATTGGTTCTTGACAGCTGATAGGTCTCACGTATTCTCTTTCATGATATAAGGTGAAGGTTAAGCAGATGCACAAATCCCTAGCATTTAAGTTTTTAGTATCTACAAGTCATTTTTTCAGATCAATATCACTTTATTGAGATAGGACCACTTCTGTTCCATTGTTTGTTTTTTTAAATTATGAGTTAGTATATTTACTACTAAAATATTTGAATTAGCAGGTAGCTTTGCTTTGTTATAGGTAAAGCATGAGTAAGTCCAGTCTCAAAGGTGGATTGATTCTTTCTTCTGCTCCACCCACTTGACTTTACACATTACTCATGGCCAATTTTATTTATTTACTGAGAGTCATAGTTCTAAAGCAAATTTAGCCATAAAGTCTTGAAAATTCTCAGGGAATTCCCATACAGAGGAATATCTCAGGAACTATGTCTCTAAAGTAATGACAAATTTTGATTGTGTGATTCTGTTAATGTACCTCAGTGCCTATCTACATCCCTTATTGTCTCATATCCATGTCCATTTGAGCATGAAAAGCAGAACATATTATTTGATATGATTGGTGGCATGTTTAAAATCTAGACTAGAACGACATCCCAGTTCTTACTTGTCCAACAATCCAAAACAAAATGTAGATTCATAGATGGTGATAGAGGTGACCAAAGCTGACATTTAGAAAAAAGAAAAGAGAAACCATTACTAGAGCTCTGATGTCAGTATTTATTCTGGACATTTTAAAAGGCTTTTATTTTTTATAGCTGTTTGTATCAGCTGAGTTGCTACTTCAGTGGTTTTCCCTTTCACTCTACATTTGGCTTTTTAATTAATTAACATATTTTTTATTCCTTAAAGTTAAGGTAAAAGCAGAACTATAGTAGCTGGGGTGATTCTGGCAAGTATAAAATAGATGTTTCTGCAGGGATCTCAAAGAACTTCTGATACTTGAAATACTTAGAAAGACAAACAGAGACCAATCATATCTTAGTATAAACATTTTATGTGTCTTGTAGAACTAATTCCTCCCAATGATTAGGAAACATCATTGATATCATCAATAGATATTCACAGTTTCAATTGGTTTTGCAAGTTCCCACCCTTGCGTATTTTAAAGGAAGTAAATTAGTAACCTGCTATCATATACTAAAAATACCCAAATATTGACTAAACTAATAAAATATTTCTGTGTTCTGAAGGATTTTTTATGACCTTTAAGATTTTTAGCTTAAATTATGAAAACTATTTTTTTTTAATATTAAATTTTATTTTTATATTCCCCCATACAATTATGAAAACTATTTTTTGCTCCAACTTACATACAAAGAAATATTCACTGTTTGCTAGAACAGTGAATCTCAAATTTTAATATATGCTGCTTCTAAAACTTTAATTTGCATATGAATCTCTGAGGATCCTGTAAAAATGCAGATTCTGCAATTGCAACAAACTCCCTGGTGATGTGGATGCTGCTGTGAGAAGTCAGGTGCTAGAGGAATTGGCTCTCACTCTAAGTTGGAGCCCAAATCTCTTATATTTTGGTTACCATTCAGGAAGACTCAAACTGGAAAAATTTGCTGCATCACTATCTCCAGACTCATGGAGAGCATGGTGATCTGTGACCCTTCCCCCAAGGCCGAAACTGTCACCTAACAATTGCTCTGTGATTATTGTGTGCCATTTCACAGTCCTGACCTTTTTATCTGGGAGGGGACTGTTAGAATAAGAAGGTGCAAACACAGATAAGACTTAATTTCATGACACCAACTGTATATTTTTAATTAATTAATAGGTGATGTAAAAAGTCATCCTTTGAGCAAGAGCTCATATAGCCCCACCAAGGGGTTTTGGAAGATACACAGTTTTCCTTAAGAATTAGCCCAGGGGGTGTTTAGAAATAAGAGGAAAAACACTATGCTTAGGAAGGTTGGCTGGGCTCTAGTAGAATTGACTTGTTGATGTTTTAACATGCAGAAAACTAAATGCTCCTATTGATTTGGAAGACATATTATATATAGAAAACCTCTCAAAGTAGATTCTATTACAGTCCTTCGTTTGCCAATTTGGGCATTTTTTTTTTTTTTTTTATGGTGTTGATTTTAGGATAAGACTTCTTTTTTGTACCTTTGCCTGCTTGATACCCACTAATTTCTAGGTCTATTTCCCAGTATAATTATTGATGCTAATATTTTCTTTAGAAAACATCTTTATTATTGACAATCTCCACTTTTAGGATATGTTGTTGCTACAAATTATAAGTCATTTAACTGAAAATGCCCAAAAAGCAAACCTGAGAGCTCACAGAAAGGTTAGTGCCATCTGAAAACAATCTCCTGGATTATTTGATTGACCTGTACAAGTAGGAAAGTAATGTGCTCAGGAAGCTTTAAAAGCCTTAGATGTTTGGCCTAAAGCGTATTAACACAGAGGCCATTGACACTAGATCTATAGGCTTGGACAAACTCATAGTATGTGGTCTGTAAAGTAACTAAAAATTAACTTGCATTTAATCTTAAAATAGACAGCTCCTTCTAATAATAATGTTCAAGTTTTATATATCCTCTACTCAGAAAAGTCAGTCTCTCTAGTGTCTTTTCTTTTTCTTTCTTTTTTCTTTTTTTTAAAGATTGATTTATTTATTTATACAAGCACTGGGTACAGTCAGAAGCGCGGGAGGGTGAGAGAATTCACCAGAGCCAGAGCGGGGAGCAGAGCAGGCAGAAGGACCAAAGTACACTGCTGAGGGGAGCAGTGGGCGGCAGGAGAGGTCTGCGCGCCATGTGGGACCCTCCGGGGAGCAGCCGGGGATCGAACCGGTGCTGCAGAGGCTGCGGGCAGCCTCGCAACCCAGCGCTCAACCGCTGTGCCACTGGGGAGGCCCTTTTATTTTTCATTTGTAGAAACACAAGTTTACTGCCAGCTTACCCTGCATCCTTCCATCCCTGTTGTTTCCGACTTCCTACTTTCCCTAAGCACTGGCATCTAAGCACTGGCGTCTAAGCACTGGCGTCTCTCTATCCACTTTCTTTTAGTCACTTGTACATTAAGTCCTCACTTTACTTCTTCAGTAGGTTCTTGGAAAATGACTTTAAGTGAAATCACCTGTAATGAAACCAATTTTCCCATTGGATAGTTGATATTAAGAACAGTTAGATTCCCATGCCATTTTTTTTTTTTTCACAAAAACATCACCAAACTCCTAAATAAAGACCCCAAACATTTCTAATGTTAAACAGTCATTTGTATTCATTCATTCTTTTTTGCATTCATTTTCCAACCCACTTATTCCAGTTCAGGGTAGCTGGTGACTGGAGT